GCGTCCAATTTCATCGGCTAGATGGCGTCGGTTCAGGTAACGGTAGAGTCTGATTGGTGTATTCAAGAAACCCAGCAAATGTGGGAAGGGGATGGGGACGGAGTTCTCCAAGGACTGTGGGAGGGTGGATGGAAGACTCCGCGATGAATATTCGGCCGGAGTGAGATATGCTGGTGTCGGTCCACTGGGCTTGGCGGGCTTGTCGTCCTTTTTGTCCGCTTCCTCCTTCTTTTCAGTGCTCTCTGCAGCAGACGTGCCATCGACAGGTGTCTCTGAGCCTTCGCCAGAAATCAAAGGTTCTTCCACAGGCGCAGCTGGGGGAGTCGGAGGATCAAGGGGCCCAAGCCAACCTTCGTGAAGACCCCGAATGTATTCTTTCCAGGTATGCCGTCCAATTACCAGGTCACCTTTTGGACCGGGTTCTTCAACGACTCCGATTCTCTGTCTCGCGTCGGCGATGATGTCTTCATTGCCGATTTCCTCTACGACCGAGCTTGGCTCACCCGCTTTCCTTCTGTGCTTGCGGATCCGTTCCGATAGTGTTGCACGCACGTCGCCCTCCCTTCTGCCTTCGATGAGTGTATAGTCTAGAGCTGCCGCGACTAATATCGGCTTCACGTATTCCTTGAAATGTTCGCGAGCAATGCGAAGTCCGTCGCCCGGCGGAGCGGCCAAGAATACCGTTAATGTCCGCCGTGTCTGTTCGATGGGGAGGGTCTCCTTGGAGAGATGTGCGACCAAGTCACACCACTTCTGTTGTACGCGACGCTTTTCTCGACGATCATAGACGATGGCAGCCGTGAGTGAACCGGTGATTGTGAAAAAGATCATCCAATTCCGGGATGGAAGCTTGAAACGAAAGTTGGGCATTCCTGTGGAGCGATTAACGTCAAATAGGCCGGGAGCTCTAGAGGTCTATCAGCAATTACCTAGCATCTTGAATGCTGGATTAGCTGGCTTCGGCGTAGTTTTCGAAGCAGCATTTTGAGCCTGGCCTGAGGCCGCGGCGGAACTGGAGGACTCCGCCATGGCTCCAGATGTTGATAGAGGTAATGGAGCGCAAATATGAAAGTCAGATGATTTCAATATTTGAATGATTTGAGGCAAGCTCAAGAGAGAAAATTCAGTTAGAAAGTGAGCAGATTCTCTTTGAAGAACACCGAATCACTTCCGGTCATGACTCGAGATAAGTCCAAAAAACTTCGGAATGCTCAAAAGCTGCCCGGGACGAGGTTTATCCGGGCGGTATATGAAGCACACTCAGAGTAAAGTGTTTGTCCAGACAGAGAATCAAGGTAATGCTCCAGAAATCAGACTACATTGATTGCAAACAATGTAAGTAGACATGTTAGGTTGATCTGAAGAAGTGTTCAACGACTCCAGGTTGATCTTGTCACATCATCATCGTCTAGTTTGTGCTGCTAGGCACTTATTGTCAAATTGTTCCATGGTTAAAGACTGCGTATTCTAAGTACCTTTTTGACCTGTTAAGGAGAGTTTCTTGAACATGACTAGAAATAATAATGCGCGATGATGCATGGTAAATTGTTTCAGAACCATGATTATTATTGCAGACATGGACAATTAAACAAGAGCCTCAGGGACCCCTAACTACGGAGTACTTAGATTTGTGCCTGACTGCCCCAGGCCAACACCTGCCCCTGTCCTGTCTTGCACTGTTGGTCTCTCCAACCTGCTGTATCCCGACAGTCCAGACTCCGGATAGGCGCAAAACGAACCAAACATCGCGCAGAGTTGGAGTTTGTACGTAGATGGAGTAGCCTCCTGGTCATTTGGCTCTGACACCCATTGTTTCTTCTGATTCTGTCTCCTGCTTGTCAGATAGATACATACATATTTGCTTACAGTCTTCTTTGAATTCACCCAGCCAGATAACAACATCTTTTGTCCTTTTTCTCCTGAACGTGGAGGACTGAGAAACGTGCGGCTTCTCCCCCCTCCGCCCCCCCTCTCTCCCCAAAGGGCTCCTTGTACTACTACTCCTGAGCCACCGCTCCTTTGAATATTGACCCGTGCCCTTCCCCCTCCCCCTTGGGTCGCCAACATTTTCGTCTTCACATCGACAACCTTCGATCCAACTCCCCAGCGTCTGTCACGTCGAGGTCGTTGAGTCGAGGAAAGCGTGTCGCAAAATGGATCCTAACAATAATCGTCTCCACCTGAATTTCGGGTTCAACGATCGGAATGGATACAATGCAGCGGCCAACAACCGCGCATACCCAACAACCCCCTCTGCTTTTCCTCAACCGATATACCAAAATCAAGGTCCTCAGGATTATGTTGATGCTCAAAATGGGGCTTACAATCAAGGATACTTTATGGCCAACCCTTATCCTCCCCAGTATGCTCAGGCGCCTTACGGCCAGCAGCAGCAGCAGCAGCAGCCGCAGCACAATCTCGCGTCCCCTCAGCCCACCTACCAGTCACGGATGGCCTACAATGCCAATGACGGGACAAATGGTCTTATCCAGCAGTTCTCTAACCAGGATCTGAACTCGACACGCACGGGTTTCTTTGGTCGTGCTGCCTCTCCTGCTCAGAGACCTCGCACTGCTGGTTCTTCTGCCCCCGGACAGCAGCAACCGGGCCATCTGGCCCCTCCTATGCCTCGGAGTCCCCGAACCCCGGCTGAGAACGAAGAACTTCAACGGTATCCCGAACGCTACTCTGAGAATGTTCATAAGCGAGGCAAGGCGGCGAAGGAGTTGGTGAATGTGTTCTTCCATGAGAACATTGAGCGGGCACGCGACCGCAACATGCGGTGAGTGATGAAGACATTTTAACGTCGCATGGGGAGAAACCGCTAATGCTTTTCGTTTCATTCAACCAGTTCTGCCGAGCTCGATAAGATGATCCGTGAGCCTAGTATCCCCATGGAAAGGAAGCGCCAGGAGGCCGAGATTGCTGCAAGAAAGGAGTCAACTTTCCTGCGATTCCTCCGGACCAAGGAGACACCTTCCAACTTCCAGACTATCAAGATTATCGGAAAGGGTGCCTTTGGTGAAGTCAAACTCGTGCAACGGAAGACCGACGGCAAAATCTATGCCCTCAAATCTTTGATCAAGACAGAAATGTTCAAGAAGGATCAGCTGGCTCACGTTCGTGCTGAGCGTGACATTCTGGCAGACTCCAAGGACAACCCGTGGCTCGTGAAGCTGCATGCTTCTTTCCAAGACAGCGCCTACCTTTATCTGCTCATGGAGTTCTTACCTGGAGGTGACCTGATGACCATGCTCATCAAGTATGAAATCTTCTCCGAGGATATCACGCGGTTCTATATGGCAGAAATCGTAATGGCCATCGAGGCGGTCCACAAGCTTGGCTTCCTCCATCGGTGAGTTATTCCCTGATACGCTTAACGCAAAACTATGGTTTCTGGACACCTTCTTCGCCTTCCATCTATGCCGAGGGAATTATCCAACTGCGATTGTCATAAACATACTAACCAGCCGTGATCGACAGGGACATCAAACCTGACAACATTCTGCTCGACCGAGGTGGTCACGTCAAGCTTACTGATTTCGGTCTCTCAACCGGAGGCAAGAAAACACACGACAACTCGTACTATCAGAATCTTCTGAAGAACTCAACTTCGAAGGACAAGAATCGCAACTCTGGATACTTCAACGATGCGATTAACCTGACAGTCTCGAACCGTGGGCAGATTAACACCTGGAGAAAATCCCGTCGGGCCATGGCTTATTCGACTGTTGGCACGCCTGATTACATTGCCCCCGAAATCTTCAATGGTCAGGGATATACCTATCTTTGTGATTGGTGGTCTGTTGGTGCTATCATGTTCGAATGTCTTGTGGGTTGGCCCCCGTTCTGTGCCGAGGATACCACGGATACCTACCGCAAGATCGTCAACTGGAGAGAATGCTTGTATTTCCCCGAGGAGCTTACACTTTCCCGCGATTCGGAATCATTGATCCGGAGGTTTGTTCCCGCTACAGTTTTCATTTTTGGCTTGAAAGCTGATCATACTCTGCAGTTTCCTGTGTGACGCGGAACACCGTATCGGCAACGAAGGCGGCCAGTTCGGAGGTGCCACACAAATTAAGAACCACCCATTCTTCCGTGGAGTGGTGTGGGAACAACTTCGTAATATCCGCGCTCCCTTTGAGCCGAAACTCAGCTCGAACATCGACGTTTCGTACTTCCCTATCGACGAGATTCCGCAGGAGGACACCAGCGCTATCCACCGTGCTCAGGCCCGTGCCATGCCAGAGGAGCAGGAAGCTGAGATGAGCCTCCCATTCATTGGATACACATACAAAGCGTTCAATGCTTTCCAGGCGAACTGAACTTAAAAAAAAGCTGGCCTTCAAGTGTGTGGATTGTGGATGAACCGAACCGGGGATTCTCAGAGCGGGCTGGCTTGCGCGGAAAACCCTGGCAGCGGTGCATGTTCAATTTCAGACGGGTTTACTCGTTCCATTGGTCTTCATCATGAGCATATAGCGCATTTGATTTCCCCTTGTGGTAATGACCTGAGCATATTTGGTTTCATATGCATTTTCTGTCGCAAGACGACAACTGCTGGGTATTCAGCGTATCTAGCAGCAGAGAACTACATACGAGCGCATTGTTTGTTGGTCGTCAAAATTCTTGATACACCGAAGCGAACAGATCATGGTTTTACTGGCTGTTTTTGTCTTTTAGCTAGGTCGTACATATGGCGCTCATCACGCCTCAATGCATCTACAATGAGAGTGAAACCTCGGAGAGCCATGCACCTGTTAAACAGTACAGCCTTGTAGGACAGAAAGAAGACAAGCGATGCCTGGTAGAAAGTAGACCAATGAAAGAGAATGGTTTTAAAATTCATTGAAAAGAGCCGCTTTTTCAGAGAACTAAAATCGATTCATAATGCGAGAAGAATCCAACAATAACGCCCGGAAGAAAGCCCCAGCTGAATTGTACATGCCGTTAGATTTGCTCGAAAAAGCACCCGTACTCCTTCAACAGCCCCTTCATTAAGCTCTGGGTCCCATTGGTGCCAGACCCGGAACACCGCTAAATCGCTCTTCTCGCTCGGTTTTGAACATGATCTGGATCCAAAACTCCTTGCTGTCCTCATCAAACCAGGTCCAATAGCGACCCTCTCTGCGGTCGATCTCCCTGGCCTGCAATTTAAATCCACACGTCTGATATGGCTCGGCAGCGACGACGAGATACTGGAAGTTCTTGTCTGGGGGCTCCTCAACCTTCTGCTCGAATGCAGACATAAACCGTACTCGGGGCGTGACCCCAGGCGTAATCTCCTGATACTGTAACTGGAACAGCAAACCAAGCTGCCTCGTCAAAGGATCTCTAATCTTGGTGATCTTGTAACCGGGCCGTCCGATCTTGATAGTCTGTTTCTTGACCTGCACACCCATCGCACCGGGCAGCATCGATGGATCTTGGTTTTTGCCCTCGCGCTGCTCCCGCGCCGCACGTCTGGCCAGGTTTGTCTGATGTTTGCGGCCCTGAGTATGGGCGAGATACGAGCCATCGTTCTGGTGGACCGTCAAGCATAGACGACATTCGAAGCTTCCGACATGGTTCTTGAAGAAGTAGGGGTCCTTGTCGAGGTCGATTGTCTCGAGGGCAAGCTTGCGAAGACGCTCACGACGGTCTGCATTCGTTGCGGAGTGGGATGCAACACCACCGCCACCGAATTTGGATCCTGCACGATTCTAAGAGAGAGATCAGAACCAAGCCAAAGAAAGCGGTTATACATGCTACCCATGCTTACCTGGTAATCCATCTTGAATAACCTCTACCGAAAAGCAGAAGAACTGAAGGAGAGGAGAGTAACGTGTGACGGGCAACGATAAGCTTCGACTGGAAATTCGGAGATCGCGATAACGTAATCCACGGCCGAGCTACGCATACGGCCGAGCTACGCACTTTCGCCGTCGCGTCAAAATACTATACTATCAATATTTTTCAACGCGTCCTTCTTCTAGTTATACCCTATAAATGTCTCTTTCTCAAGAGAATCGAATGCAAATGGCTGTCTCAGCTATTAAAAACAAAAAAATTCAATCAAAACGAGAAGCTGCTAGCATATTTGGTGTACCTGAAGCTACGCTTCGCAGTCGGCTGAGAGGAATCAAACCACGATCAGAGACACGCGCCAATGGCCATAAACTGACTGCTATTGAAGAAGAAACTCTTGTCAAGCGACTTCTAGATGTAGATAAACGAGGTTTTTCAATTCGGCCAGAGTTTCTGCGTGGAATGGCACAGATTTTACTTCGTGAACGTTCCCAAGATTCCACCGCAGTCCTTGGAGTCAACTGGGCCTATTCCTTTGTTAAACGCCGTCCTGAACTACGTACAAGATATAATCGAAGGATTACGTACCAGCGAGCAAAGCAGGAGGATCCAAAGGTTATACAGCGTTGGTTTGAAACTGTACATGAAGCTATTCAGGAACATGGCATCCATGAAGATGGTATCTGGAATTTTGATGAAACTGGCTTTGCAATGGGACTTTGTACAACATCCAAGGTTATCACTGCAGTGGATCGCAGTGAAAGACCCCGTACAGTTATTCAAGGGAATCGTGAATGGGTTACAATCATTGAATGTGTGAGCGCAAAGGGGGTTTCTATACCACCAGTTGTCATCTTGAAGGGGAAAGAGCAACAGGCTACCTGGTATCAAGAACCGGCAGTTCCTCAAAGCTGGTCAATTGCAAAGAGTGACAACGGCTGGACAACCGATATAATAGGCCTTCGCTGGCTTCAGGAGGTGTTTGAACCACACTCCAGGCAGAATTCAACTGGTGCAAAGAGATTGCTTATTCTTGATGGCCATTCTAGCCACCAGACTGCAGAATTTGATGCTTTCTGCAAGGAAAATGCCATTATCTGCCTTTGCATGCCACCTCATACCTCTCACCTTCTGCAACCACTGGATGTGGGTGTTTTTGGCCCGCTAAAACGCGCCTATGGGAAATTAGTTGAAGGAATGATGGTTGCTGGAAACAACCATATTGACAAGGAAGACTTTCTACATCTATATCCACCTGCGCGTGAGAAGGTCTTTAATCAAAAGAATATATGTAGTGGCTTTGCAGGCGCTGGTCTTAAACCTTTTAATCAAGACCGGGTGCTTGAGAAAACCACCTTTCAACTTCGTACGCCCACACCACCACTGCCTGTTGAAGGCTCAATCTCTTCTGCTTTTCAAACACCGCAGAATCCTCGGCAGCTAGATCACAAGATCCGCAGCCTGCAAAGAAGTCTTCAGAAAAGGAAGCTTTCCAGCAGTCCAGTATCACATATCCAACATCTTGAAAAGGTAGCACAAATGGCAATGAATATGAACCTTCTTCTGCAACACGAAATTAAGGTTCTACAGGCTGAAAACGAGCGGAAAATGAAAAAGAAGGCAAAGAGGCGTGCTAATCTCGGTGATGAAACTCTTTTATCTGTACAAGAAGGTCAAAATCGCGTTCAGCAGCTTGATATACCGCGAAATGAGCAGGTTTCCGAGTCTGCACCTATGCCTCGCCAGCGAGCTCCACCACGCTGTAGTGGCTGTTGTTCTATTGGACATACAATAAGAAGTTGCCCTATTAAATAGCTATTCATTTCATATTCCAGATAGTTTAATTTATTGGTGTTGATAGTTGAAGAGCTTTAAAAAACGTAGTGGGAGCTGGCGAAAGTGCGTAGCTGGCGAAAGTGCGTAGCTCGGCCGTATGCGTAGCTCGGCCGTGGATTAGTTACGTTATATTTGGGTTATGTAAGCACCGACACGGGCTTTCATTGGGCTTGGGAAGCTATCAACAACCACCCAGCGCTTCTCGAACGCAACTCCGGGGGTTGTATGACGTTTATTTGTTTTCGATGATGGACGTTGGATGTTATGTGAATCAACGGCGATCCTACAATGGCGACTTATGCACAGTTCGTTACGTGGGTAAAGTTGAAGGCACCACCGGCGAGTGGCTCGGAGTGGAATGGGATGACCCGACGCGGGGAAAGCATTCTGGAGAACACAGCGGAGTGAGATATTTTACATGTATGAAAGTATTTTGAAGAATGGATAGAGCGCCTTGGCTGACTTGCACTGAAGGTAGAAGCAAATACCCCACAGCTGGGTCGTTTGTGCGTCCTTCGCGACGACCGGACAAACCTCGAGGCTTCCTTGAGGCAGTGCGCCAAAAGTATGCTTCCGAGTTTGAAGAGGAACTTGCTAGGCAAAAGTCAGGCGAAGTATCTGCTGCACGAGGCACCATCAAATTCAGTAATAAAGTAGTGGAAGAGGTCGGCTTTGACAAGATTCGGAAGAAGCTTGCAGAGCTCCAGGAACTGAAGATCGTGCTCCTGGATCGCCTGTGTCTTGCAGGAGTTCTGGCTCATGCAGCGAGTCCAGATGAGATTGCAGAGGCTTGCAAGGAGATTGAACAGACATGTCCTAAGATTGTTGAGCTTGATCTTAGTTACAACTTACTGGAAAGCTGGGCTGACATTGCGAACATATGTCGACAGCTGAAGCGCTTGAAGACATTGAAGTTGATGTTAGTCATTGAGTACATTTATGGGAAGCATGCTGACAGTGGGCAGCGGAAATCGTCTGGGTCCTCTCAAGGAAGGTCTGATATTCGAGGGTATCACGGGGCTACACCTGGATGAGACTCTACTTGGATGGGACGAGGTATGCTGCGCAAAGCTACTAATTGCTATTCAGCGAGCTGACTGACTCTTGATCCCCTTCAGATTTCAGCTTTGACATATCAATTTCCATCACTTTCTGCTCTGTCAGCCTCCGCAAATCAGATTACCCACATCTCAACACCTATCACAGGTACCATCACAACATTGACACTGGAAAACAATGACATTTCTTCGCTATCCTCATTGGCATGTCTGACCTCTTTGAGCAAGCTCGAGCACCTCTCGCTGAGAGAGAATCGCATTGAGAAAGTCTCTGCGCCTAGCATGGAAGGAAGTTCCATTCAATTTTCCGAGAATCTCAAGTCGGTGGATCTATCCAGAAACAGCATCGATTCATGGTTGTTTGTGAATGAACTTCAATCCGTATTTCCAGGGCTGCAATCTCTGCGGATATCAGGAAATCCTCTTTACGACAAGCCTGTTGCCCCGTCGAAAGTCACAAACTTGCCAGAGAAGCCAATGACGGTGGACGAGGCCTATATGCTAACGCTCTCTCGGCTTGCTTCCATTCAAACTCTCAACTACAGCAAGATAACAGCCCAGGACCGGAGTAATGGGGAACTCTATTACCTTTCCCTCGTCGGCAAGGAGCTATCTGCGTATTCCGAAAGCGCAGAGCGCGAGATTCTTGCTACACATCCCCGCTATCAGGAGCTTTGTGAGAAATACGGCCAGCCTACGATCAGGAGAGCCGAATTAGCAGGCGCTGCCGTCAATCCGGGCTCTGTTGCCGCTCGATTAGTGAATTTGGCTTTTCGCTTGCACTCATCGGTTGATCCTGATAGAAACCAAGACCAAATCCGAATTCAGAAGATTCCGAGATCCTTTGATACATATCAGGTCAAGGCTATCGCCTCCCGCCTGTTTCATCTCCCGCCTTACCAGTGCCGACTCATCTGGGAGACCGATGAATTGGACCCTGTCAGTATGGAGAAAAATGACGATGATGACGATTGGGATAGTGATGAGGATGAAGCCACAGATACCGCTTTGGGAGAGAGCAGCAAGTCCATACCTACGAATGAGGATGCAAAGTTCGTCAAACGAGAGGTCGAGCTTCTGGATTCAACGCGAGACATAGGTTTTTGGTTCCAACCCGATATTGTTGAGGCAAGTATCAGAGTAGAGGTTGCAACATAAAATTGACAACGCGTTTGAGACAAGAGTTATGAAGGAGTATCTTAAAGCACAATTTTCTGGCGGGGGTGGGGGAGCGGGGGGAATATGTATATATAGTTGACAGGAATTCATCATGGAGATACATTGACGCCAATAATGACAGGAATCTAAAATTCCTCCGCAAGCGCTTGTAGCTTCTGTTAGTCGAATGTATTTAGAGCCTCTTAGTTATTCCTAAACAACTTGATACGTGTGGTGTACATTCAAGCTGGAGATCAACACTGACTGCTGTTTTAGGAATAGGCCGATTTCCTGTGGCAGGCGACTGTTTTGCGATAACGGTGATATCATTTCGTTTTCATATAACATATTCAACACTCAACATCGTCATGGCAGAATACTGGAAATCAGCTGTAAGTGCACTTCATTCATTCCGGAGTTCTCCTCGAAGTCATTTTTTCCGTGAGGGAATTCCAGCATCAACTGACAGCATGAGTCTAGCCCCGATTCTGGTGCAAACAATGCAAGATATTCATTCGTGATACTCCTTTCGAAAAAACCCAACACGAAGCGAGTGCCAAACACCAGGGAAATCTCAAGCGCTTTATACGAGATATCCATCGGGACAATGAGCGGAAGCAACGAGAGACTCAGAAGGCGAAGGATGAAGTCGAGCGATTGAAACAAACTGTCGCAGGAAATACAGGCGCAAAGGACAGCGGTGCAGCACCCTGGAAACGCGCCCCGGCCGCCCCTCAACCGGCGGAAAGACCTGTGTCCCTGGAAGAGAGAAAGAAGCAGATAGCACAGCTGGCCGAGATGGGAATCGCTATCCCGGATGAATACCGTGGTGAACTCGCGCTCGCTGGCGAATGGCAGACGGTATCCGAACGGGTGATCCGATCAAGTGACAATGCAGAGGAAGGAAAGCCTGGTAGCTCTATCGGGGCTCGCAAACGCAAGATGGAAGGTGACGAGGAGGAGCAGGAGGCACGACAGGAGGCTGAGAGATTCGTGAGCCAGGGTTGGGGCTCGAGGACTCGGCAGTACCCCGGTGCACAGAGCGATGCGGATTTGGATGCCCTTCTTGATTCTGCCAAGTATATAAAAAAGGTCAAATTGTCAACGCCGGAGGAACAGTCCAAAGGGAAGGCTAGCAGTGAGAGTGTTACAGCGGGGAACGATACGGACCATCCTGCGGCACCCGAGTCAGGGCCACCATCTGTCAAGGATGAAGACAAAGAAGTCTCCCAGCTTGCTACGTCAGATACTCCGGCGGTCAAGCAGGAAGACGAGGCGGTGCCTACAGGAGTTGTTTTCAAGAAGCGCAAGCCGAAGGTTCTGAGAAAATAGCCGAAATGCGCAGCCACAGAATATCTATCATCTACCATGGGCACAAAATTACGAATGATGCATTATGGTTGCATATTATTTTGGTCCAATATACCTCGCCTGCTGGCGCTCCAATGAAGCGATCATGGCCCTCATCTCTCTGAACTACAATGTCGGCAACCAGGCATGATGCATTGATCGATCGATTCCTGGTCTCAAATCGTCCGTCACCGAAGAAATTCAGCCCATAGAAGACCTGGATTTTGAATTGCTTGCCGGAAAGGCCTTGTCTGGACTGTGTTAGCCTACATCCAGGTCGAGTGTACCGAGTCGAGCCATGCGGGTTCCAAGATAATATTTGGCCATACTTCGGCAGAGAGACGTTGGAGCCACATACAACGGATGGAGAATGATCAGATCTTACGCACGTAAATATGAGATGCAGCTCACCCAAAGAGTTGCATGGTGTCATCCCGCATCTCTCTTTGGCGTGCAAACTACAATAGCATGCATACAAAGCACAAATTTCATTTGAAAAGCAGACTTATAACGAGAAGAGCAATATAATGAGCTAGCTTAAGCTTGATTGTCAGGTGATAGTCCCACGGTCCTACTAGATGGCCAATGCCAGCTAATATTGTATCAATGTGAATGAACAAGCCATAAAAAGTGTATAAGTATGCCTCTTTAAAATGAGAGGAATAAAGGCATATTACTAGAATTGAGGAAATCAGAAGCAATATGATAGATAAAAAACTTTTATTCACAGAGGAAGTTGAATGGCAGGTGTGAAGCTATTTTATCAGTGAATATTAGATACTTCAGCCGTCTCTGCGGTGTTGAGTGATTCTCGCCACTGCCATCTTTTTTCCCTCCCTTTTTTTTTTTTTTTTTCTCTCTTGTAGTCAAAGTCCGGGGCTTCTTCTAGAGTTGTTCCGGAGCTCACACCAGAAGATCTTCTTGACGCGCAGCGACCTCATTGCAAACCATTCTCCCCACACTGGATGCGGAGGTTCTCATGACCAAATTGAGAGATCTGGTGGAATATTATTGACTCGGCTGGCTACTCTCGCTTCTTTTCGCTTATCTAGACCAGTAGTACTTGGTAAGTAACCCAGACGGGACCTTTTGTTTCTTTTGCTGGCGCAATCTTGCTCGCGTGAGACTTGCCTTTTATTTCTTTGGCTGTATGAGCTATTGAAACTTGTACTCGCTCCTTCAAGAAGCAGTATTGCTTGTTGAAACTCGTCGCGATGTCGCGATGGTGTTCTGGAACTTGTTTTGCGGCGTCGTCGCTTTACGCTTTGCCCGAGCGGAGAAGATCATGACGGCCTCGCCCGACAACATTCCAAACCCAATGCCTTGTCATCCTCGAGGTCCCGTACTCGGCGAGTTTCGAGTATTTCAAATATTGTCCAGATCTACCGTGGGATATATTTCTGTCATTCAGATGCAAATGCGCTTTTGTGTTGCGCAAGCAAGCCTTCGTGAGATAACAGCTCATGGCAATCAGAGAATGCGCCAGCAAGAGTGATCGGCCAAAACCCTCATTTCCCGTTTCCTTTTTTCCCATCAAGAAGGACACTGCCGTGATTTCTAGACGCGCTCTTCTTTGTATTCTAGTCTATTTGCTGAGTTCTTGATACTAACACCGCATTGGCCTCAAAACCGCAGGAATAGATGCAAGCCGGCACCAAACATTCAGGCCATTGTACGAAGTCTCAGAAACGCGGATAGGCGTAACTGCCAAGCTGCGACGTCGTATATTACCCGTCCCATCGCATTCGCACGTTTTTACCTTCGAGGGCTTCGTTCCACGCGGATTCCCAATCCTCGTCAGCTCGCATGGCGGAGTCAGCAGAATCGGCGAACGCGCCTGGAGAATCGCCCAAACAAGCAGCTGGATCGACTGGTCAGCCCGCTGCTAAGACGGCCCCGGATCAGATGCTCAACCCTACTGCAGAAAGTGCCCCTGAGACCACTCCTCAGCCAATGCCCGAACAAGCTCCTCAAGCGGCTGTCGAGCAGCGTACGGAGACCAGCAACTCTGCTCTGGAACCAGCGTTACCAGCCATCGACACGTCGCTTCCTCCAATTGACAAGTCCTTGCCGGCCGTCGACACGACTCTGCCCCCAATAGATACGTCTTTACCTAGCCTGGATTCTACACTGCCACCACTCGACTCGAGCGTGCCATCTTTGCCCCCAATCGACACGTCTCTTCCACCGCTGGACACAACTCTGCCAGCTGCAGAGGCCAATTTCTTACTTTCAGGTACAAGAGTATCCAACCCAGAACCTGCTGCTCCTGAGTCGACCGGCGCAGTATCCGGGGCATCTGAGCATCCCTCATCCAACCAGTCAGGTCATCCTTCCACCCAAACGCCATCCTATCAATATTCGAATGGAACTTATCAAACCCAAACCGCTCAACAGCAGCATCAGTCGTCGCCGCCACAGCAACCACAAGATTCGCACTACCAGCAGCAGCATCAGTCGTCGCAACAGTATGCGCAGCCGCAGCCGCAGCATTCTCAGCCAACACATCAGCAATACCAGCAACAGAATCATGATATGTACCAGAACCATCAACCCGCATCATCGCAGATGAATGCTCCGCCACAGCCATCCCACATTCCCCAGGCTCCCATTGGGTCACCCATGCCCTCGAACATGCCCCCAATGGCTTCTGTAGGCCAGTATATGACAGGATATCCCACCAATGTATCACAAATGGGTATGAATTCGAACGCGCAGATGCGCTACCAGCTCCCTGGCGACCCGAACAAGATGCTGTCTGGTGGAAGGCACAAGAAGGAAGTTAAGCGGAGAACGAAGACCGGATGTTTGACGTGCCGAAAGCGCAGAATCAAGGTATGTAATCTGGAACATGAGGAATCTCAATGGCATGGACCTTCAGCCCATGTTTTGTATGCATTGGAAGCGAGGGCGATCATCGTGTGCGGGGATCGCGGGCGGGCATGCAAACTTATCGCTTCGCTTGTGCTGCCCACCCGCAAAGAACCCCGCTCTCCTATCGCCCACTGTTTTTCTTCCGCCCAACAGCAACAATTTTTTTTTTTTGTTGTTTTCAATCGCTTATTTGGTTATTTATGATATTGGTTTAAAGTGGCTGACGGAGCGTTGGTGTTGCTCTCTAGTGTGACGAGGGTCACCCTGTTTGCAGAAATTGCGTCAAGAGCAAGCGTGAATGTTTAGGTTACGACCCTGTCTTTAGACCGCAGGCATCGACTCCTTCTGCAATTCAACCTGCTCCCAATCCTGCTCCTTCACTCGTCGTCAATCCACAAGATCCAACGCCTTCCTACCCTTCCGCGCCCCCCGGCTACGTACCTGCGGCATCCCAGCCTTTTGCTCCCTCCCTTCATTCAGAATCGCCATCTACATCCACCGACCAACAATACGACTACGGCACTTCTCCCGTCGACCATTCGTTGGGGGCCAACAACTCTGCGAATATGGCCAGCACGCAGAATGTCACTCAGGGAGGACTGCAGCCGACTCTCAATGCGACGACAAATGCCACCGTCACTCCGTCGGAACCTTCCAGCTCCAAAGGTACGTCCTTCTCGTGCGCTATTCATCCCTGATTTACCAATCTAGTACATACTGACACAAAATCAGTGAAACGAGTTCAGATTAGCGATCTACTGGCGCTGAGAGGCATTCCTCCACCACCCCCTCATCCTATCACATCTCTCCCCCCGAACCGTCTCGAAGAAATCAAGGCCGTGTTCCTCGCTACATATGCTCCCGCCGTTGATAGATTCTTTGAGACTCGCTGGTTTCAAGAGAAAGCGCTCGGTCACCTGTTGGCGAATGCGCAGCTGATGGCCGAGTACTCTGCTCTGATCGATGCATTCAACGATCGGAACCTCAACGATCCCAACGTCGTCGCGCAGCTGGAGAGCTTTGAAGCGTCCGTCGTTTGGAGTACCATGACATTGTGCCGTCATGTGATGAATGTGTCGAACGGAAACCATGGTCAGGATTTCGAATTGTTGGCTACCTCGTCCAGACTCGATGTGATTGAGGCCATGATAACAGGCGAGTATTTGGAGAGAAACCCTCTGGCCCAATGGCCCGTTCGGGAGCCAGCAGCTGATCCACCCACTCTTCCTGATCAACTGATGCAGAGAACGTTGGATTTCTGGAGTTCGATTGGTCACTTCTTGACTCTCCATGACAACGAAGCTAGCTCTGCCAAAGAGATTGATGATACTCTGGCTCATTGCAGAACGCTGTTAGATACTTATGAGAATCGCGATGTGATTTATTCCATTGCCATTGCCCGCCACATTGGACAGCGCTGGGCAGACTTTCCACACAGCCTCCCTCAGCATATCACCACGAACGAAAAGGATGCGGGGGCCAAGCTATATGTAGCGCAGAAATTTCTCGAGCAAGAAGCCAGCGGCAAGGGCACCACACAGGTCGTCAAACGCATCTGCGGTATGGTCGTCCGGTCCTGGTACGTTTCCCGGGAGTAGTCGACTATGCATTCATCTTGCTGGCACTGCAACATTGGTGACATCTCCTCACCGCTGGGGATATCTGGCTATTTGACTCCTCTGTTCTCTTTTTCTTTCTCTTTCTCTTTCTTTTTCTTTTTCCACATGTACGGGCTTACGTTCCTCCTCGATTTTTCACGTACCCCGTCCAATCGGCTCAGCGAAAGCTTTCATGGCATAGGAGTTTTTCTCAGTTCTCAATTCTCTCTGAAGCTAGGGAATGGCAGCATCACGGCGTTCTGGCTGCTTATCTTTTCGAATCAAGACTTGGTTGAGGGTTTGGCTCTGGCATGCTTCGCTTCAGGATGTCCTGCATATGGACGAGAAGGACCTTGAGGGATACAAGTTCATTGGTCGAAGATTTACAGCGATCAATTTGATGTGTTCATCGTAACACACAGGGACAAGTGTATCCAATCATCTACTCTATCATCAAAATCATGTACATATCAATAATGAGAAATAAGTACATTTCGCCAAATTATGCTTGGCATCGTGCATAATTCCTCTTGACATTCTCTTCAAAGGTCGGCTTGCTCAGGTACAGGACTCTTCAGCTTCCCTGTCTCAATTGCAAGCCGCACATTCTCGATAGCCCACTCTTCCATGGCCGTCTGAGTCTGTGAGAAATCAATCAGATTAGTACATGTCTGCCATGTTGACTTCAAGACTGTAGACTGAGTCTCACCTCGACGGTCCATGTGCCCATGTGCGGAACAAGCAGAACGTTGGGGTTCCGGACAAGGCCTGGGTGAACCTTGGGTTCTTCCTCGAAGACATCCAAACCGGCAGAGTAGACCTTGCCGCTATCGAGGGCCTGGACCAGGGCCTCTTCGTCCATGACTGCGCCTCGCGCCGTGTTGACAATGACGACACCATCCTTCATCTTCTCGAACTCGGCTGTGCTGATGATGTGGCGTGTGTGTTTCTTCTCCAACGGTTAGGATAACGCCTACACAACTGCAGAAGTTCGGTCAAAGCAAGATAGGAAACTCACATTCAGGGGCAAGTTCAAACTGATCACGTCGCTCTTCGCCAGCAGCTCATCAAAAGTCACATACTCCGCTCCGGCGGCCAGGTCCTCGCTCAACCGTCGGCGATTGTGGTAGATGACCCGCATACCGAACGCCTCGGCTTTCTTCTTGAGGTTGCGCCCGATTCCCCCCATGCCCAGGATACCGAGGACCTTGCCCTCAGGATCATGGCCGAGTCTGGGGAGGGGCTGGCCACGCCATTTTCCTTCGCGCAGGGCATGCATGCCCGTGTTGAAGTTGCGCAGGGCACCGATGATCAGGAACATGTTCACGTCGGCTGTGGCGTTGTCCACGGCTGTGGGGACGTTAGAGACGCGCAGGGGGGGATTGCGAGCGCTGCAGGCGTGGACGTCGACTTGGTCGTATCCCGCGCCTGGAGGGAGGTCAGATCACTGGGATACAAAGCTTTGGAGGAATGCGAGGAGAGCTTACCGCAGTGCGCTAGGAAAGTGCATGAGCTGGGGAGTGCGTTGACGAGCTCCTCATCGATGAAGCCGGTGATGGTGATTGAGTCGAAGGTTCTGTACGCGGCGACGACGCCGTCCAGCTTCCCAGAGCGGCATTCCTGCAGGAACTCGGCGCGGTTTGTGGCGGCGGGAGTGACCAGTTCTGCGATGTCGGCTAGCGATTGCCATGTCTTGTGTGCGCTGGATGGGAGAAGATAATGGGTCAGAAGAGTTATCCTTAGAGATAGGGAGAGAGAGGCTAGTGCGTACTGGACAATGGATCCAAGGAGAAGGACCTTGGGTTTGGTACCGGTGGAACCCATTGTGATGTTTCTGCGTACTTTGAAGTCAATTAGGGGTCTTTCGAAAGGAGAATTGAAGATAGACAGCACGAGGATGACTCACTTATTAGCAGAAAAGCGTCGCACCTGGAATTATGCCGAGTGAGACGAGAGACGGACAAGCTACGTCCGAGAGTATACTCAGGTTGCCAGCTGCGTCGATGTCTATGAGCACAATCGAGCACACAGAGTCTACCAGAAGAATATCCACACAATCGTCAGAGACGAGAAGAGGTAAAGAAAAAGCCCAAGGAGCAGAGAGTATGGGCTACCAACTAGATAGTACTACTTACCTGAGTCCTGACTGCCATCACCCCGGCCGAGAAAGATTGGAGCGCCCCACCTGTTGTTATCATCGCAGCGCCTTCTCAGGATTCTCCCCCGCACTATCTGTATCTGTCTACGGAGTATCTATCGAGTCTAAATTGCCCAGTTAAGATCTTCAAGGATTGACCATGACACAACAATTGTCCAGATGAGGCGATATTACCGATGTCGGTGGATCCGTCCCGGTAAGTTTTGGAATTTTCCGACTGTGAGAAAAGCTACCACAGACCTGCTTGCGATATGTGAACGCGGCGTGGGGGTTTATATGCGGGGAGATCAGTACGAGTATCGGATCTAATTGCGAGGCAGAAGGACATCAATCTGATCATCGAATGGCCTCGAACTGGTGAGACCAGCTGCAGTTTGGCAGTCAATATTTTCCCAGGAACGTTGATGCTCCTGAAGGGCATTCACTGCCTGTCGCATTCTCACCAACCTGGTAATGGGATAGAGGCCAAGCACTGTCTTCCTAATGTTTGATCTCCTCGGAGTCGGCATTGACAGTCATATCATGTATATTCATATCATCAGCTGCTTTTGGCTTCGACAACATCTAATTGAAGGCTCTCTCGACTTATCCCTCCACAAGCACTCGAGTCCAATCGAACTTCCGCCATCGCTTCTTAAACCCGTCCACTCTACGATCACCTCCTCGGTTCCAGCGGCCCTGTCGTTTGATCACCTCTGGGCCTAGATCGAGCATGCCTCCAATAACCTCGCGGGCAAACAGATCGCCGCGTGGCCAGCGGTGCTCATCCTCCACCACGTGGCCCAGTCCTCCGTCCAATTCAAACCAAACATGGAAGTAGGGCATCTCTTTGACCAGGGTGCGACGGAACGCATTCCGACCCAATCCCTGCTTCGCCTTGGCAAGGGTGTCGATCAGTTTTCGGTGCTGCGTCCACTCGGAGTCTGCTGCAAGAATCGCTTCCCTGAAGAAGGCCGGCGATGTTTCTCCGAGACTGTACGGCAGTGGAACGGCTTCCATGGCTGCATGTCTCTTCCGATGTGGCTGAGCGGCGTTCTCGTAGAAAATGACATCGCGGCCTTGATCGTGGTACATCCGGGTTAGACTCTTCATGAAATTCCGGATCTCTTCCCATTCATCGTCATCACATTCCATCAGGTTGGTGCGATGCTGGATAGGAACTATCGTAGCGCATCCCTCGCTGAGCTCGGGTTCGGTGGGGAGAGTCAAATAGGTTCGGGTTGCCAAAGACACCACAGGAGCGATTGGGGGCGTGTTGGTATCTTCATGATGACATAGCGGACAGTTGTCCAAGATCCGATTCATCTTTTGAAATTCGCTGATGGTAGCATTCTTGAGGTTGATCTCAGACCGATGCACCCTTTTGGCGAGTTTGGCGGCATTATCGTCCATGTATTCCAAATCATTCTAATCAGATAAGTTAAATCAGTAACAAGTCATAGCTGCTTGAGTCAGGGGATGAACTGACCTCGAATTTCGAGTCTCTGGCGATCCTCTCCGCAAGTCGTCTCCCATCTCCACCAAACTGATCCCGCGTCCGCCGCTCTTCTCGGACCATGTCTTCAATGGTCATATCCTCGTTTTCCTCCAGTTGACCCCGCTCCCGGCCTCTCCTATTCTCGACGGGTTTGACTTCGTTTCTTTGTCCTGCAAGCATTCGGTTCTCCATGACTCCAAGCACTACAACATCGGACTCCTTGCGATTGGCCATCGCCGCTGCGGCCGCATTGTAGCGCTCCTCAAGTTCTGCTGCTTCGGCTGATCCCTTGAGCTTTGCCTTCATCATCTGCGCTTTGAGTCGGTTGAGAGCTGTCAGGTCAAGGTGTTGGGTGGCGCCGGAAGGAGGCACCGTGTCGATCTTCCGACCTTGACCACGAGCTGCAAGCTCCTGTTCAGGATCTCGAACGTGTTCATGACGTTCCCTATGAATCCCTTGTTCGAGCTTTCTCTCCTGGAAGAGCTCTCCTGATGGCTTTTCTTTGCCCACGTAACCCTCGCCATACCGTGCGCGGCGGTCCAACTCCGCCTCCTCCTCACGCGCGTCATCAAACGAGCGCAGATCCCCAAAGCGCTCGATTGCAACTTCCTCCACAGATTTTCCGCTCTCTTCCGCCTCCCGGTATACGGCTCGGAGCTTTGTCATTCTCCACTGGGAGCCAGCATCCCCGAAAGTGTAGTCCACCTCGTGTTGTGCTGGCTTCTCCTCAAGTTCGGCCAGTTCTTTCCCGTCTTTCAGATCACGAAGATGTTGATTCAGTTCTCGGTCGTGTATCTTCAGCTCAAAGTCCGCCTGAAGCATCTTGGCTTTCGGTTCTTCCTCCAACCGTGTAGTATCACGCCGATGAACATAATCAACGTCGAGGGCGGATGGCGCTTCCATCCAGGCATCCCGCTTCAATTGACTAGGCTCCTCCTGAATTATCTCCTTCACCGGAGCTGTAGACTCTGATTCATTGTCTTTACTCTCCCTTCTATGTCGTCGCTTGTGGGAATGATCCCGATCATCGCCGTGACCGGTGGAATGGCGAGATCGCTTGTGTCGATGCCCATTTTCCTCACTGTCACGCGGATCACGATGGCGATCCGACTCTCGTTCTCTCGACCTCGATGAATGGCGCCGATGATGGTGATGATGACGATGATGCCTTGAGCGGTCTTTGCTGCGGTCTCGGTCTCGATCTCTGTGTCGATGTTTCTCTCTGTCGCTTCGTTCGCGTCGTCGCTCTTGATCTTCCACCAGAGTGTTTTCAAAATCCTCCAAAGTCATGTTTGATATCTGTCAAGATGATTGCATAGAGCTTTCGTGTGGAAAGGGAGCGGGCGCAGCACGAAAAACACTAGA